AATATTTGTCTTTGTTGTTAAAATTGAAGAGGAGATGCTCGTATATGGCTAGCACACTGCGCTGCCCATTATGCCATTTATCGACAAAACTCGGTCTCTGATAGCATTTGGACATTCCAAATTGGTATGAAAAATTTGATTCAGCTGGGGCAATTTTTTCAACCCGCTCCCTTGAACAATTGTTCGCTTTAGCAAAATCCAAATCAATTATAAAAAATGATATATTTCTATGCCGGAGTCATGAATAATCATTTTCTAATATTGCCAAATGTCAATACGATAACAATAAATTTGTTTGTTCTTATTGTCAACTGCAATTGCCAAGAGCGTTAATGACAAACAAAAATCCATTAACATACCTGTTCTTTGTGTCAAATCGTAAACCATCTCGTATATGCAACAGCTTCAACATCTGTTCTGTTAATAGTAGTGGAGTCTGTGACTTTATTATTGGAAGAGATTTGCTGTTGAATTTCCTCTTGATTTTGATAAAAAGGCTCCTCTCTTTGCATTTATTCCGTCTTGATGTTGACACGTCCAGACGGCTCCTGTGACTGCACTTTCGAAGTCGGAGTGAATACTGTTTGTATCTCAATAGAAGGTATAAGATCCGCTCTATATCGTTTTCAGTCTCCTACACTTTTGAAGGCTCTCTTGGAATGTGTATAGGTTCTTTGCGTGACGTGTCGGTTGCTTCCTTACTAGGTGATTGCATTTGATTAAAGGCACTTATAGCATTGCATATACCACCCTGAATACCAGTAACTATTATAGTACGTACACCTTATGCCGGAGGTACACAATTTTCTTCGGCTGCTTGTTGGGGCTTATTTTCAGCAACAGCCTGCTCGGCTGTCTCGCCTCGGTCACATTTATCTTTAGTTTCGCGTAAACGCTTTTGTTCCTCAGCTCGTTTACGTGTGTCTCCTTCAGTGCTTGTAGCTAAATTCTCGGATTTTGCTCGCAGATTCGACGGTTTCGCTCCCTCAATAACAGGTCTCACTTTAGTGCAATTAGTGCTTGCACTTGTTTTGTACTTTCATCATAAGCAATGGCGGATTTATCGATGCGATCTTTTTGAATGCCAAACTTGCCACCGAACCTCTTTAAAGATTAGTAAATAAAATTCATCAACATTTTGACTACTTTGCGCGGTCTTCCTAGTTTATAATTTCCCCTAGCTTTTCTCTTTGTCGCTCTGTCTCTCTCTCTCTCTCTCTTAAACGAATTTTCACATTCACATTTCCATTCAATAAATCCCTTGCTTCCTATTTCGATTTTGTGCTAAAGGGTATATTTTTTTACTGTCGTACAATTTTATGGTCCAGTTGACTTTTGTGCTTTTGTGGTGCTTCTTTATGATCCCAGCCCACTGCTGACTTATCTTGACGATCTGACTGAACGCCAAATTTGCCACCAAAGCCTTTACAGCCTTTAGTTGTAAAATTTTTTTGTGAAGCATGCTTTCCCACTTTTTCAAGATAATCCCACTCGGCAGCCGATTTATCAACACGGTGTGTCGGCACACCAAATTTGACGCCAAAGCCAGTACTATAAACTTTTGGAGACGCAAGTTTTTTAACTTTACCCTGATAGTCATAACCCACAGCTGATTTATCTATACGATCGGACTGGACACCTAATTTTCGACCATATCCAGGATTCAATTCTTCCAATTGTTTTAGTTTTTTTTCATGATCAGCTCGCTCGGTTTCAAAGCGCAGCTTTTGCATGCTTCAAAATAAGCTTAGTGCGAATTAAAAATACCACCACTTAACCGTTCAAGCAATAACTTACTCTATAGCTCCCGCAGTTCTCCCACTACCCCACCGGTACAAAATATGTTCAGCAAGATGATGACCGGTAAAATATACGATCAGCAAGATGATGACCGGTAAAATATATGAACAGCAAGATGATGACCTGTAAAATATATGAACAGCTGTAAAATATATGACCAGCAAGAGAAAGACCGGTACAATATACGACTAGCAAGATGAAGACCGGTAAAACATATGCCTTTAAATGTTTTGGTAAAGTTAATTCGACAATGTTTATAGTTTGTTCTTTCGCTTTGACTTATTTTTAACTCCTTTTATCTTTGTATTCTTCGTTCTTGACCCAACAACACCATTTCCAAAGAGTCTAAAATGTGTAATGCAGTTCTCTCGTAAGCTCCTTTTTGGTATTGACTAATACTTCAGATGCATTAGCACACACTCAAAATAGCACTCAAGTCGAGTGACTAGAAACTTTTGGTACAAATGGTTACGAACGGTTACGTTTTTTAACAAACCTACTTGCAAGGTTGTCGTATGGAAAAATTTTTCTTTACTTTTTTTTTTTTGACATTTTCAA